AACTCCCAGAATTCCTCAGCCAGCTGGCTGAGGAATTCTGGGAGTTGAAGTCCACAAGTCTTAAAGTCGCCAAGGTTGGAGACCCCTGCTTTACAGTGTCCAGCCAGCAAATACTCGGGAGGCCCCTTCTCCTTTATCTGCTGATCCACTCCCAGCATGACTGACTTTTCAAGTGAGTCAGCTCTCATGACACATCCAAAGTAGGACAGCTTCTGTTTGGCGATCTTGGCTTCAAGCAATATTTTGGGTGAGGTTTGGCCTAGGAATACTTTGTTATTTTTGCAGTCCATGAGATGCGTAACAGTCACCTCCAGCACTTCAATTCAAACATTTCCGCCTTTCTCCTATCTGCTTTTTTCAGTCCAGGTTTTGCAGTCATAAGTAGGAATTGGAACAATTATTGTATTAGGGCACGCCAACATAAATAGAGGGCAAACCCCACTCAGTTTACACATAGATGCACTATACTATGACTAAAGAAATTCTCCTGCTTTTAATCTTCTTGCAATATACAGGTAATCCTCAACTTACCACCAAAATTGAGCACAAAATTTATGTTGCTAAGTGAGACAGTTGTTAAGTGAATTTTGCCCCATGTTACAACCTTTCTTGCCACAATTGTTAAGTAAATCACTGCAGTTGTTAAGTTAGCAGCATGGTTGTTTAGTGAAGCTGACTTCTCCATTAACTATGCTGTTCGCAAAAGGGGATCCTATGATTCCAGAACAGTGCAACCATCATAAATATGAGTCAGTTTCCAAGCATCTGAATTTTAATCATGTGACCATGGGGATACTGCAACAGTTGTAAGTGTGAAAAATTGTCATGTCATTTTTTCCCCCCAGTGCCATTGTAAATTTGAATGGTCACTAAATGAACTGTTGTAAGTCAAGGACAACCTGTAAATCATTCTGCTATGCCCTCTAGCATTAGATTGCAAATATAGGCCAGATCAAAGGAGGGAGGATTAAGAGATATTATGTATACAGAAAAATATACTGTTGCTGTTCCTCTTCAGATATACCAATGTTGCCTTGATCTTCTCTGTAATCTTTGAGTAATATCACCCGTCACTTAATTATTTATACTTTGATCTTTCACACTAGTAAGCCATCCTGACTGCTACTCGAAGCTACAACTGCCAACTGCTTCTCCTGCACAATACCAAACGAAGACCATTCAGAACTGCAAAGACCCTGTCTGGAATGAAACCTTTCGCTTCATGGTGCAGTCGAAAGCAAAGGTAAGCAACTCATTGTTAATTTTAGTTTCAGTGGCTGTGTGATCACAGCAGGGCAAGGGAGATGAAAGATTAGGAAAACTATGGATAGTCAAAAGTTAGTATAGTCTGAGACTCATGTGCCAAGCTCATTCCTTTCCTTTATAAAGACCTGAAGGCAATTTTCATTTATATTTCAAATGCTGTGTCTTAAGTTTGTGAATTCTATGTAGTTGGTGTATTGGATCCAAGCACTGACAGACGGGTTGCTCGGTGGCGCAAAAGAGGATAACAATGGAAGTTATAACAGGGCAATACAAGCCCCATTCCTTTTCACTAATCAGCACGAAACCTCACTCATGCACAAAAGGGGCAAAGCTTGCAACATGAAGCCAAATGCAGCCTTAATTTCTTTGATAAAAATTAACAAGCTTCTGGTGTTTTTATCAGAGAAATCCAAGAAATCCATCATTTCTCATCCCAGAAGCTTCTTCATTTCCGACTGGATGGTGGGGAATGGAAGGATTTATATTCCTATGACCTGCTGTCTGAAAGGAATATAAATCCTTCCATTCCCCACCATCAATCAGAGTTGAAGAAGTTTCTTGGATGAGAAGTAAAACATATTCAAAGAAAAACAAGAAAGTCCAGTTGTCTCTTGAAAAGCACCTTTGGTACTTCTGTAGATCCCCTTAATCAATGTATTTGTAGCCTCCATTCCCAAAACTTGACATTTTGAGTACCTGTTAGACCTACTATGCACAGAGTATTTACTTCCACAGTCCTACAGAATAGCTTTCTCATCAGTTCAACCAGATTCCTATTTTTAATAACAGCAAAGAATGAAATGTACAGCACATCTCATCATACACTTCCTTTTACCTAAAGAATCTTCAATCTTTCAATCTCTTCTAGCCCAATGCTATCCCCATTCAAATGTATATTCTACCTTTTATGACATATCTACTTAACAACCTTTTATTTCTTTTACCAGAATGTGTTGGAGCTGAGTGTTCATGATGATGATGTCTTTCAAGATGACCATCTTTTCACTGTACACTTTGATATAGCAAAACTCCCACTGAATGAAAAAGTGCTCATGAATTTTAACTGCAACCAAAAGGTCTGTATAACCTTAATGAACATTTTAACAGAGCAATTTTGTGTGTTTACTCAAGAATAAACAATTATTTTGCATGCACATGCACACACCAAACTGATGTAACCATTTTACATCCTGAACGAATATACAAACTAGAATGCAAGTTATCCTTTTATTTTCACACTTTACTAACAGAAGAGTGAAACTGTAGTAAAAAAAATGCACATGTAAAAATATATTATGGGTAGGTTTATATTGTGAAAGATGCCTTGCAAAAAATTATGTTAGGGAAAATTGGTACAAAACTACACACACATTTTTGAGCATATAAAAAAACCACAATTGTTTTGGTTTGCAGGCTTTTATGTAGTAACTGAAGAGAACATTTGCTTACAGAAATCTGTTTCTATCTTATTTTTTGTTTGTTTAATTCTAGCATCATTTTACCATCATTGAAAACCATTTTATAATGTTTCTACAAAGATGTCTGGCATATAATTTTAAAAATAAATACAAATACATTTTGAAGTACAGGAGCTCAATATGATAACTTCTAAAATAAAAATCCTCTAGAAAGAATTGTAGCATTTGTTAACAATCAGTTATACACCAGAGAGCTAGAGAGAGAGAGATGAACTTGAGTCTTTCCTTTCTTGAGGCTAGAATATCTTTTTGTGGAATGGAATGGAGAATGGAATGGAATGGAGTTAGTAGACAGCTAACTTGAATTCTTGCACATAATTCTCAGAGCAATGAAAATTATATCAATGATATCCAAATGTAAACCATGCAACCATACAAACCTGCATATACAGCCCAACCTATCATTTTACATGCTGGTGATATTAAGTTCATAAGAGATTTAAAATAATATATTTTTATTTAGTATTCTAATCTTAGCTCCATTTGATATGCCTGTTCACCCGCTATGATTTAGTGTTACAAGTGTATCCTGCAACTATAGTTAAAATCCAGATAATATTATGCTTGAACATAACACTAATACAAAGAACAGGCATCTTTGTGCCAGTTGTGGTGAGATAACAACTCTCAGAATTCCTAAAAAAAACTTTTTAGAATGGCTTCAGTAGGAAACGTTACACTTACTTTCTTCTAATTTCAGGAAAATGAGGAGCTGGAATTAGAATTTGAGTTGCTGCACAGGTGGGTAAAATCAGAATCTAAATAATCTCTACAGAATCTACTATGTCCCTGCTTCTCATCTATATGAAATCCTGGGCAATATTTTCCTACACTCATAGTAAGACCTGACAATATTCTACCATTTAGCAATCCTGCTCTGCATTTTGACAAAACCTCATAAGAAACTTTGCATTTTAAACATCCTGAGCTCTTACTGGTTTCCCCTGTTGTTTTCAACATTTCTAGAAATTGCTTTTTTTTAAAACAATAACTTTAAATATCCTGCCTTGCTGAATAAACAAAGTAATTATGTATGATTTTTTTAAGATCAAGATTTTCTGAAATAATCATTACAAATGGAGTTCTTCTGGTAAGTATTATCTACTTTCTTTCCTCTGCTACTTTTTCTAAAAAGGGAATGAAATGAAATGAATGCAATTTCCAACTGATATCTTTTCTTTTTCCTAACTGATATCTGAAACTTTTGATTAAGAAATCATGATTTCTTCAAGTATCTCATACTTAAACCTTAGGATTTTCACAGTCGATCTTCTATCCTGTTTGTCAAAGTGAATAATATTTTAGGTTTATGGCAGTATTCCATTTCCTGAAAATATAATTACCTCAGTAATATGCAATTATGCACAATTATATACAGTTATGCACAGAGTGTATCCTGTATACCAGGGGTCCCCAACCACTGGGCTGTGGACCGGTACCGGTCCGTGGAACATTTCCTACCGGGCCGCCGGTTTGATGGGTGCCGCCATCTTGTTTGATGAGAAAGTGCTTCCGGGTGAGCTTTTCTGGTTGGAAACTGGCGTTTGGGTCCTGAAGGAATCCTCATGCCTTAGTTTCATTGAAGGGGGGGGGG